CAGAGTGCATATGGTTTTCTAAATTTTCAAATGCAACGCGCAAGTACTTAGAGTTATCATATTCGAATAAAATTTTGCACAGCTTATTTTTAGACCAAAACACATCTTTTTCCGCCCGGCAAACCAAATTTTAATTTTAACGAACGGTCTAATACACACTTTGTAGCAACTGCAGTTGTCAGTTCAAAGTGTCCAGGTGCCATCTGTAACATCTTTTTCGCAACTAGCAAAGCAACTGAAGCTCGCTTGCTATCGGTAATCGACCCATTGTGCGTACGGTAAATTGTTTATAATGACTTTCGCTAAAATTAAAATTTCAAAAGTCATCAAAATAAATTCGATGGGACTGAGAAATATTATTTTATAATTTTTAGTCCATTTATAAAAGTGTAGTTTATTAAAAAGTTAACTTTGAGTTTCAAGTCCTTCCATACCTTCAGTAGAATTGTATAATCGTTACAGTTTTGAGTAATATTTATTGCTAACATAATTTTACTTACTTTGTTCAACCGTCTCCATCACGAACTGGACGTCCAAAACGATTTACTTTTTCCGCAACGACGTTACAAAAACTGTCAAAGTTAGGAGGTTTTATGCCCCTCCTAAATCGCAATCTTTTCGCTTTCGTTCTTAAATGCGGACGACAGTTGACGAATGTTTCTATGTCGTTCGTATCTTCGTTTCAAAATGGAGAATACCGATATATTTCCGATAAACTTCAATAACGCCAACGGTGATGCCAACTTGTTTTTATTTCGTTTTAAAACGACAACGCCAACGAAAACTGAAAACTTCATTGCACTAATTCAACTTTTGTTACCTGTGGAAATGCTGTTGGTAGTGTCCGACCGATTCCCAATTTTTGGCCGATGCCGATGCCAAATCTTTAAAAAAAAAAACTAGCTGAGAATAAATTCATTCAGGAAGAAATGTTTTTAATAAACTTTTATTATAACTCAAGAAAAACATAAACAAATAACTAAATAACATTACAAAACAAACAAACATTCAAGAATATATTCACTTATTTATGGACATACACAAATATGTATTAAAAAATAGTGTATCGCTTATATATGCATAGCATTGCAATACTTTGTTCCAGTCTTTTTCGTATTCAATGTAAAATGAATATGTAGTTAATGCGAAATTACATTTCTTTGTTGTACTCATAGTAGTAGTATACAGCTTCCGCTGTTTATAAATTTGTTTTCAATACAATTTGTTAATAAACAGTAACCGCTAATTTTAAAATAATGATGAAAGTACTGTTGTAACGTTAACAAAAAATTCAGTTCTCAAGTAAACACGAAGTAATAAGTATACGCACATTTGTTTGTTTTTAATTAACATTCAAAATTAAATAATTTCATATTATAATGTAGAAAAGAAGCTTATTCGCATTTACCCCAAGCAAGTTGGTACGCCGATCGCTATATAGCTGTCCCGCGGCACTAAAAAGCTGTTCACTCGCAACGCTTGTTGCAGGTGCAGAAAGATATTTGTTTGCAATTTCCCTTAAGGACAAATAGGAGCTTTGGTGCCAATATTCAAAAATATTGCTATCGCGAGGAACGATCGGTTCAGAAAGATACGTATCAAACCGTTTTTTAAAAGGTGAACAGCAGTCGTCCGATTTAACTTCTTGCGTTAACATATCGCAGTCGTGATAGTCCCAAAGGTTGTCATTGGGGGTAGAGCTGTCAAACTATCGATAGTCAAGCCCATCGATGTTTGACGATAGTCTTAAGGGTGATTATCGATACTATCGATAGTATCGACCCAATTCACGTGTAAACAGTCAAAAAGCAATTTCAGAAATTTTCCCTTCAATTCGCCTTTCGGAATAAAAAAATGCCTTTCGAAAGTCACTTTACATTCAAGGAGTCACTGCTTATGCAACTACTTTCTGAAATTTCTCAATTTGACAGTCTTTTGAAATAAACTGCATTGCCAGGTCTGATATGCTCATAAGACGGCAATGAAACCTCTGCTATTTCCATGCTTAACAAAATGGCGCTTTTAGAAATAATGCCTTGAACCAACCAAACAGATCACCCAGCATGCAACCGTGTATTTGTAATTGCATTTAAGAAAAAAATAATAATAGTTGATAACGGCATTTTTTAATCGGTTGTTTCATGCACACACATGGTTTAATTCCGTTTAATTCACATGGCGGCGAAAAAATGAGGTCACTGAAAAAAAAATTATTTTTTCAGGCGCAACGTCCTGTTCGTTCGTTCATGAAATAATGCTGCCAAGTTTTGATCACTTTGAACCAATACGTGAAAATGTTAAAAGCGCTAGGAAAGAGAATACGTATCAATGAAACGATAGTAGCGATACTATCGATCGTTATTTCAAGTGGTCAGACTATCGATAGTATCGTCGATAGTTTGACAGCTCTAATTGGGAGCATTTCTGGAGTCGTTAATAGGTGGAACAGTTTGTATTTGTACTGCAGTATCATCATTGAATAAACCTAATTGATCTTTTAATATAGTTTCACACCTCTTTATTTCCTCAGTTGAATAGTATTTGTTTTTAAAACGAGGATCAAGTATCGTAGAAACATGCAACTCTGGATTTGTCTTAATAAACGCAAAACGCCGTAGTAAAGAAGCTGTTAAGCCGTCTTTAAGCATTGAAATTTCTGCTCCATCATCATCGTTGCGCTCGAGTTTTATTTGCAACATCGCAATTAAAGGAATTATGACAGAGGCACATGTTGAGTCATAAGGCAAATCCAGAGTTGCCTGGTCAAACGGCTTTAATACTGCAACTACATAACAAACGGATTTCCATTCTTTTGCTGTCAAACATTCTACAGATCCTCGTTCGGCTATGTATAGGTTAATGGCAGCCTTCTGCTCGTATAACCGATTTAGCATTAAATAAGTGATGTTCCACCTGCAATCAGCGTCTTGAATTAAGGTATGGTTTGGCAAACCAACAGTGTCCTGAAACGTTTTTCGGTAGCGACATGCCTGTTCACTTCTTTTGAAATTGGCCACAATTTTACGACATTTATGACTTAACTCTCTAATGTTTCTACTTTTTAAAACACCATCTTGGATAACTAGTTGTAATGTATGTGCGGCGCACCCCAGCCACTTAACTTTGCCCAATCGCATTGCGGCTGTCATATTGGCAGCATTGTAGATATAGCGACATGGATTTTCGAACTGATGTTGTATTCTTCAAGAACACTGTTTAATGGAGCATTAATATTTTCTGCAGTGTGATCTTCGTCTAATACGCTGGCTGCCAATATGACTTTGAGCCTACCCGGCCTTTGAACGAAGTGAGCAGTGAAACTTAGCAATGAGCAACTCTTTGTAGAATTACTCCATATGTCCGTAGTAAAGCTCAGCCATTTGGCTGATGCTACAAGCTGAATTACTTTTTCTTTGACTTTGTCGTATGTTTGCGGCATTAATGTCGTACGAAAAAACTTTTCGCTTTTTAATCGATATCGACATGCAACAGTCGGATCTGCGAGATTCAATCTTTTGGACGCGCTACCTTCGACTATATTATAAGGAAGCATATGATGAGATCCATAATTGATTTATCAATTCGCGCCGCTATCGGATGGTCATCTGGATAGGCTTCGGTTTTTCTCGACAGGTTCGGCAACGTTTCCTGTATGTAGCTGCAACTTGGCTCCTCTTTTCTTTGTTTTTTCTTGGCCGTGGTAAAAGTATCTTGATCTTTTTCATAGGCTATCCACTCGTCCTGATGGGCAGTGCTTCTTTATGTTCGCCGTCGTTTGCTGTTTTTTATTGGAGTTACCCAACGATATTTCTTTTTTGCAAATTTGACACTTGGCTGTACTCAATTTTCTTTCAAAAAATTTCCAAATGGGATTAAGCTGCGCCATTATTCCTACACAAAAAAAAGAAACAAAAAACATTTTATAATACTTTCAAATAAAAGTGAAATCATTTGCTTACCAAAATCTGCTAAATGCACAGCAACGAATGAAGTACAAAATCAATTGAAACCAAGGCGAAATTCGCCAGTAACACCACCTTGTAATAATTCGCCTTGTATAAATTCGCCTTGATTGAAACTAAAACGTTTATTTACATACAACGAGAATGATACTTATGAGAACACATTTATTACAGGGAGACCCACATGAATATAATTTCAACTTTAAAGGAAATAAAAAAGTAGAAAATAAATTACATGAAACGAAATGCGGAAAAAATAAAAAGAATCGGCCAAAATGGCCGATGCCGATGCCGATTCTTTTGGCCGATACTAGCCGATGCCGATTAATCGGTCGGACTCTAGCTGTTGGTAGGTAACTTCACAGGCGATGTTGAATCGCCTCATGTAAATGCACATACCGCCTTATCCCGAGTTTCGCCCGAAAAAATTTTCACCTGTCAATTTTTTTTCCGCCCATAGTAAATACATGGAAACCAAAAGTGAAAAGTGAACCGGTTCGGGAAAAATAAAAGTCTTGATAAGGCTGATAATATTCACAATAAATTTTCATGACTTTTAAATGCATATTCAGGAGAAAATTGGCGGCACAGATTTTATAAACGCAACAATTTGGCATATTGGGTTAATAATTTCATTTCAGTAAAATTGTGGTAGTTTTTTATAATATATGGTAGTTGTGGTAGAGGTGAAAAATTACCCAAAATGTGGCAGATCTACCACAATTGTGGTAAAGTTACAGCATTGGCCTTGATAGGTGCCTGAATATCCGAGGCAATAGCAATGCTTGGCTCTGCTGCCCACGAGGCTACAATTATTTTGCAACCTGTTTTATGGCAAAGTCCTTGCCTGAAAAGCACTGACCCAATTCGGTAATACAATACTCTCCGATTTGCAGGTCAGTTGATAATCCATTTTTGATCCGACCGTAAAACTAGATACTCCGAAGCCTTTAGTAAAAATAGCCTAGCGCTATACTTATCTTGATGGAAACATCGTGACGAAATTTTCTTGAAGATAAGCGAAGTACAGATGTACTCAGATTTTCCGCGAATACTTGGTCGTTGAAGGAGTACAGGATACGTCCATACCCATACATAAGTTCATTCCACAGTCTAAGTTCCCTCAACATCAGGGCACTTTCCTTAAAAACTTTAGTTTGCTCGGACAAATCGTGACGTACTCTGAAGTAGTATGGTGGCGGAGAACCATGGTCAAACAATTCGCAACCAGCAAGTGGCTGTAAACAAGCTGTGAGAGTAAAATTAAATTATTAATATAAAGAGTTATCGGAAGGTCAGCAATAAAGCTAAGTTCAGCACAATTATTTGTTTAAGAGGAAGAGAAGTGCTTGAACGCGGCCTCAATCAGGGGACATTTAAAGGATAATTCCAATCTTCTAGAGCTACTGCGTGCACTCTTAGTAAAAGTTAATGCTTTCAAGGTTTTTCTTTTATTATCGTTTTGTGTTCATTTTCAAAGCATATTGGGGACTTCCAAAATAAGCTGTAGTAGAATTGGTTAATAAACAGATGAATCACTTCGTTCAACTTCAATACCTCCGCTCACAAAAAGCTTGCGCACCTCTTCGATTTTTCGCAGAAGGAAGTGCCACAGCAATGACTTCAATTTGAAAAACTTGGTTCGTCGGTAGTTTTAAAAGAGGTACTTCAGTTGATAAAGGAAAAAATTTGCAATCAGTGTTCGCTTTTGTTTCGCCAAAATGGCGTACTCCACGGGAACTAAAATTTCAAGTTATTGTTTTGTTATTTTTACCATATTCTGTAAAAGCAAACTGCATTGACAAATGTTAATATCGTTGCAATTATTAAAAAGTAAAATATATGACAAACTTATCAATATTCGCTCCTAAATACGCTCCAAAAACCTTCCCAGCAACCACAAAAATGTAGTTCCCTGTATACACACTTTGTAGCAACTGCAGTTGTCAGTTGAAAGTGTCCAGTTGCCATCTGTAACATCGTTTTGGAAACTAGCAAAGCAACTGAAGTTCGCTTGCTATCGGTTATCGACCCATTGTGCGTACGGTTCAAATCACAGCTCACAACGTCCGGATATTTATGTTTATCCACGTGTCCTCTGGGTAGCAACCAAACACTCGTTTGGGAGCCAGGTAAAGTGAGAAGGCGTACAATTTCGCCCAATGAAAAATAATAGAATTATGAGACTCCCTTTTTTGATGACGACCACGGCAAACGTATAAAGGACTATGATTTGAGGGTATGCCCCTGGAATATCCGGATCCTTAACGCCCACGGTTTTCGTTTTCGATCTCAAAAATTGTTTATAATCAGCCCTATTCTGCATTTCGACTCGAATCGAAATTTTCTCCGTTTGGCAACTTTGGTATTCTGCGTTCCGTTTCCTTTCGATCAATCTTCGAAATTTACGATAATATCTATTCTACATTTCGATCGGAGTTCCGTTTTTTAAGTTGCAAATTTGCGTTCCGTTTCCTTTCGATCAATCTTTGAAATTTACGATAATATCTATTCTACATTTCGATCGGAGTTCCGTTTTTTAAGTTGCAAATTTGCGTTCCGTTTCCTTTCGATCAATCTTTGAAATTTACGATAATATCTATTCTACATTTCGATCGGAGTTCCGTTTTTTAAGTTGCAAATTTGCGTTCCGTTTCCTTTCGATCAATCTTTGAAATTTACGATAATATCTATTCTACATTTCGATCGGAGTTCCGTTTTTTTAAGTTGCAAATTTGTTGACGGAGAACGTTTCGATTGTTATTTTCGTAGGTTTAAATAATCAGCCTCATTGCGTAAGTCGTAAATTAGGCTGAATTGTACGATTCGACAACATTAGCATTGTCTACTGTCGTGCTGAAATAAGTAAACGACGAAAATTGTCGAAAACTATGCAGTGCTGCCAAGTTCTTCCGTTTTAATACACGAGTGGAAATTTTAGGCAATGACGCTAAATTTTCGATACGATTCGACTCTCGAAAAACGACTTGCATTCGGCACGACTCTCGCAATGAGGCTGAATAAAATTTTATAAAAAAAATGAAGTAAAATATACTGTGCATGATTGTAAGTCATCATAAATGAATTTTCTCGATTTCTGTGTTTTCGCAGCGGTAATACGGGCAATACGAAAAATTGGCTCAAATATTACCAACCAAAAGAGATATTGCGCGAGGTTTTCAAAGAGGAAGCCGTTTTTGTTTTCTTTATCTATAAATAAGACTGTGAAATGCACTGAATACAGTTTATTCTTTTTATATAAAATTAATAGAAGTATGTACATACATATATACATACATACATAAAATGTGAAGTTACATAAAAAAAGATGCTTTTATTATTGCACTTGTTTTTACTAACTTTTTAAAAAGAGGTGCGTATGTTGTCGAATTCGAATTTGCTATGTAGCTTTGTTCTTCCCCTCCTCCTGACGGCTTTCAACATGGAATTCATATGCGTTCAAATCTTCCACTCTGTAGTAAATGCAAATGTTGAGAACTCCTCAAACAACGTTTATAATTTCACTGGCTTTGAGCGATGAGTAATACAGTTCATGATGAATTTATGACTCTTCACTCATCTGAGAAAGATCAAACATGTCCCTAAATCGCCGCCTTTCATTTTCCGCATCAGCAATCTGGGACTCGTTCTCCTCTTCAAGCAATAACGCCGCGGCTATGGATTTCATTTTTATAACTATGTTTCCACTTAAATAAAGCACAAACGAAATTTTATTTTTAAATTACAATTATGTTAGGTATATTTAGTTATTTTAAAGTATTTACAAACTTTACCTTCATAAGCTGCTATGGTTTGGTGGCAAATATTTCTATTGTTTTCCTTCGATTTCACACATTCCTAGGCAAACAGCTGATTTCGAAAGATGTTTTCTCTCTTCCTCTTTCTCTTTCGATTCTTGCGGAGCGGAATGCGGGAACGTAATCGAAATGCAGAATAGGGCTGAATGACTTTCGCTAAAATTTAAATATCAAAAGTTATCAAAACAAGTTTTATGGGACTGAAAAATATTATTTTCTAATTTTGAATCCATTTATAAAAGTGTGGTTTATTAAAAAGTTTATTTATTTTATTTATTTAACTTTGAGTTTCAAGTCCTTCCATAACTTCAGTAGAATTGTATAATCGTTACAGTTTTGAGTAATATTTATTGCTAACATAATTTTACTTACTTTGTTCAACCGTCTCCATCACAAACTGGACGTCCAAAACGATTTACTTTTTCCGCAACGACGTTACAAAAACTCTCAAAGTTGGTAGGTTTTATGCCCTTCCTAAATCGCAATCCTTTCGCTTTCGTTCTAAAAAATTCGGACGATAGTTGACGAATGTTTCTATGTCGTTCGTATCTTCGTTTCAAAATGGAGAATACCGATATATTTCCGATAAACTTCAATAACGCGAACGGTGATGACAACTGAAAACTTCATTGCACTCATTCAATTTTTGTTACCTGTGGAAATGCTGTTGGTAAGTGACTTCACAGGCAATGTTGAATCGCGAAGAAAATCCCCTCATGTAAATGCACATACCGCCTTATCCCGAGTTTCGCCCGAAAAAAATTTCACCTGTAAATTTTTATTCCGCCCATAGTTAATACATGGAAAGCAAAAGTGAAAAGTGAACCGGTTCGGGGAAAATGAAAGTCATGATAAGGCTGATAATATTCACAATAAATGTTCATGGCCTTTAAATGCATATTCAGGAGAAAATTGGCGGCAGAGCTTTTATAAAAGCAACAATTTGGTTGGCATATTGGGTTAATAATTTCAATTCAGTAAAATTGTGGTACTTTTTTAAAATATATGGTAGTTGTCGTAGAGGTGAAAAACTACCCAAAATGTGGCACATCTACCACAATTGTGGTAAAGTGACAGCACTGGCCTTGATAGGTGCCTGAATATCGGAGACAATACCTCGCCTGAAAAGCACTGACCCAAATCGGTAATAGAATACTCTCCGTTTTGGAGGTCAGGTGAAAAATGCCCGCACCTACGCCATAATCCATTTTTGATCCGACCGTAAAACTAGATACTCCGAAGCCTTTAGTAAAAATAGTCTAGCGCTATTCTTATCTTGATGGAAACATCGTGACGAAATTTTTCTTGAAGATAAGCGAAGTACGGATGTACTCAGATTTTCCGCGAATGCTTGGTCGTTGTTTCTAAGTTCCCTCAACATCAGGGCACTTTCCTTAGAAACTTTAGTTTGGTCAGACAAATCGTGACGTACTCTGAAGTAGTATGGTGGCGGAGAACCATGCTCAAAACCACGGTTTCTATGTTGAAACAGGCTACAAAGGAGTGTGTGTATAGGCATTATGGGCGCCATGAGTACGTCAGGACCGGCTCTTAACGCTTGTTGGATTTTCCGACTCTGGATATAGAGGTTCCAAAGGAGGTAATGAAAACGATGTTTGGACTGCATCCTTTTGTGTTGTGGCACAACGATCGCAGTTCCGGACACAGAGTTGTTTAGAAGGCTAAAAATGTACACACGAGATTTTATTTACTTTTCAGCTAAATCTGGAGCAAATTTTTGTCATAATTTACTAAAAAAACACTAAACTAAAGTCTCCCATGCCCATATAATTAGCATGTGCTAAGAAAAATGTTCTTCACATTTTCTGACAGACGTGTCATTTTTAGTTGTGTCACCTTTAAAAATCGTGTGCGATAGGTATCATAAACGATCCACTGTGTACATAGTCCTTTTTGTGATAAATATGTTTTTGTTATCCGCGCTTTAAATAGATGCATTTGTTTCTTTCGTTATTATATGTTTTGCGGACCAATCTTAACCAAAGCTATTCGATCTAAAAGAAGAATGTGTGCACTATAATTTTAAACCATGTTTTCATGATTTATGTTTGAACATGAAGAATATAAGTATTATTTTCAATCATTTCATATGCGGGTTTTAGGGAGATGTATTTTTAGCAAAAATTAAAAAAACGGTCATTTTCTTTACTAGTTCGGCAGAGTTTTTTCATAGGGATATACCTTGGATCCTTGCCCAGAAACTACAGCTATAAAACCTTCCGCATAGGTCTGCCTTCTCCTGCTATTAAAAGTCGATGTTTAAGATCATACAAAAGGGACTTTAGGCTGTTTAACGTCTAGTTATTAGGACAGTCGATGCTCGAATAATGAAAAAGCTGTACTTCTCACCGTTTATTTGTTAAAATTATTGCTTGGCAAAGATCATGTGAAAGCTCTCGACGCATCGCCCAGTGTCTCGACTATATGGAGGCAGGAGGAAAAAAGTCGTGGTGACAGTTCATTAAAAAACGGATTGGGCTTAGAGAGACCTCCCTACTAACGGTACATTTTCAAAAAAACACTGGAATCGGCGCGATAACGACTAATCAATTTAGCCGAATTTGGCGCTTAACCCATTACAGCAAGTTTCGCTATCCATTGCAGTCAATTCTTTTAATGTCATGGAATATTCAGGTGAAATAATTTATCATTTATTTGGTATTTTCCTATTTTTTTATTAAAAAGTTGGCTAGAAAATGTAGATACTAAAGATTTTTAGTAAAAAGTGAGAGTACTGGCTCGTCAAGTCTTGAAATTAGATGCATGTTGTAGAGAATTTCATGTACATACTCTCCAGTACTGCTGGAGTCAATCGCTACTTTTGAACCGCTGCCGCACCGACGCCTAGGTAAGTAGCTGCTCTGTTAACCCGTGGTAGTGCACATGGTAGTGCAGAGTCGAACCAGTCGTAAGCGGGATTGCGAAAAACTACGACAGAGGGCGCCCATAAACCACGCAAGTGACTACTTTAGTAACTCCCGGTAGTGCAGAGAGAGCCGGTGGTGACTACCGTCTAGGACATTGCCTTGTAAAAGTAATCGATGAAATACACTGCAAGTAGTCGGTCGGTAATTGACGGTGTTTATCAGGTAGCTACCGATTCAGCAGTCCTGTAGTCGCTCCCCCGTACTGCAGGGTATGTAGCTTCCGAGTATACTCAGCAAACACAGTCTCTAACGCCCAGCAAACAGTCTAACGTTAGAGTAATTTGGATTTCTACATTACACTGAGGGAAAAAAATATGAAAATCAAATAGAGAGAATAGTAATTGATCTTACTATAAACGTCAGTGAAAGTACTGTATACTGGTAAATATTCAATTCAATTACGCGCATATTAAAATGACCGCGTTCGTTCTGAAAAAGCATCCGTGAAGTGAATAATCAAGACAAAAACTAAAAAAAAAATATTTAATTTGCATGTTGCCTGCAGTGGAATTCGAACCCTGACCATCTCTGGATATCAACCGATTGTGGCATGCATCTTTGCACACTCAGCTACACCCAGGCATATAAATTTGCTTTCAAATGTTGAATATCGATCAACACCACAGCACGCGATTTGTACTATATATGAATGTGTGTGTTGTCACCGCTCTCAGAGCGGCGCTCTGCATGCTTGGGGAGGGTATGTACACTCATATATATATTCAGATGTGAACAGTCAAATACGTGCGTAAAAAATTTTGTATGAAAATATAATTTTTAAATTCGAACATTTTTAAACGATAATCAAATATAAAGTATTCATTTTTACTATACGTTATTTCCCTCAGTGTAGATAACTAGGGTAATTTTTTAATCGTTCTTGAGTCGATGACAAAGTTAAAGAATTACAGGAGAATCCAAATAAATTTAAATAAGCAATATTCCAAATGAATGATTCATAAATTATATTTAAGTTCAAATGTATCTATATCTATCTTCTATAGCTATGTATATATAATTGCTCAGTCATACGAGTTAGTTAGAGCGATCTGGATTAGCTACACAATTGATTTATATATCAAGTTAAAGTGCAAGCTCCACAAGTTATCCGAAAATTGTAAGATTTCAAATCGGTGAAGTAGGTGACAAAATATAAGCATTTAAACATTTTCTTGACTGACTCTCAACGAATCTATAAATAATTGCTCAGTCATACGACTTAGTTAGGGCGATCTGGTGCAGCTACAGAATTGAGTTGTATATCAAATTAAAGTGCAAGCTCCATAGGTTATCCAAAAATTGTCAGATTTCAAATCGTTGTAGTATTTAGGTGCTAAGATATAAGCGTTTAAACATTTTCTTGACTCACTCTCAACGCATCTATATATAATTGCTGTCATACGACTTAGTTAGGGCGATCTGGTGTACCTACGGAGCTGCGTTGTTTATCGAGTTGAAGCACAAGGTCCACAGGTTATTCAAAAATTGTCGGGTTTCAAATCGGTGAAGTAGGGGCTAAAATATAAGCGTTTAAACATATTCTTGACTCACTCTCAACGTATCTATATATAATTGCTCAGTCATACGACTTAGTTAGGGCGATCTGAAGTAGCTACAGAATTGAATTATATATCAAATTAAAGTGCAAGCTCCATAGGTTATCCAAAAAATTGTCTGATTTCAAATCGGTGAAGTAGGTGCTAAGAAATAAGCGTTTAAACATTTTATTGACTCACTCTCAACGTATTTATATATAATTGCTCAGTCATACGACTTGATTAGCGCGATCTGGTGTAGCTACAGAGCTGCGTTGTATATCCAATTGAAGCACAAGCTCCATAGGTTATCCAAAAAATTGTCTGATTTCAAATCGGTGAAGTAGGTGCTAAGATATAAGCGTTTAAACATTTTATTGACTCACTCTCAACGTATCTATATATAATTGCTCAGTCATACGACTTGATTAGCGCGATCTGGTGTAGCTACAGAGCTGCGTTGTATATCCAATTGAAGCACAAGCTCCATAGGTTATCCAAAAATTGTCGGATTTCAAATCAGTGAAGTAGGTGCTAAAATATAAGCGTTTAAACATTTTCATGACTCACTCTCAACATATCTATATAATTGCTCAGTCATACGACTTAGTTAGGGCGATCTGTAGCAGCTACAGAATTGAGTTGTATATCAAATTAAGATACAAGTTCCATACGTTATCCAAAATTGTCGTATTTCAAATCGGTGAAATAGGTGCTAAAATATAGCGTTTAAACATTTTCTTGCTCACTCTCAACGTATCTATATATAATTGCTCAGTCATACCACTTAGTTAGGGCGATCTGTAGCAGCTACAGAATTGAGTTGTACATCAAATTAAAGTTCAAGCGTCACAGGTTATTCGAAAATTGTCAGATTTCACATCGGTGAAGCAGGTGCTAAAATATAAGCGTTTAAACATTTTCTTGACTCACTCTCAACGTATCTATATATAATTTCTCAGTCATACGACTTAGTTAGGACGATCTGGTGTAGCTACAGAATGTAGTTGTACATCAAATCAGTGAAGTAGGTGCGAAAATATAAGCTTTTAAACATCAACGTATCTATATATAATTGCTCAGTCATACGACTTAGTTAGGACGATCTGGTGTAGCTACAGAATTTAGTTGTACATCAAATTAAAGTGCAAGCTCCATAGGTTATTCAAAAATTGTCAGATTTCAAATCGGTGAAGTAGGTGCGAAAATATAAGCTTTTAAACATCAACGTATCTATATATAATTGCTCAGTCATACGACTTAGTTAGGACGATCTGGTGTAGCTACAGAATTTAGTTGTACATCAAATTAAAGTGCAAGCTCCATAGGTTATTCAAAAATTGTCAGATTTCAAATCGGTGAAGTAGGTGCGAAAATATAAGCTTTTAAACATCAACGTATCTATATATAATTGCTCAGTCATACGACTTAGTTAGGACGATCTGGTGTAGCTACAGAATTTAGTTGTACATCAAATTAAAGTGCAAGCTCCATAGGTTATTCAAAAATTGTCAGATTTCAAATCGGTGAAGTAGGTGCGAAAATATAAGCTTTTAAACATTTTCTTGACTCACTCTCAACGTATCTATATGTAATTGCTCAGTCATACGACTTAGTTAGAACGATCTGGTGTAGCTACAGAATTTAGTTGTACATCAAATTAAAGTGCAAACTCCATAGGTTATTCGAAAATTGTCAGATTTCAAATCGTTGAAGTAGGTGGTAAAATATAATCGTTTAAACATTTTCTTGACTCACTCTCAACGTATCTATATATAATTTCTCAGTCATACGACTTAGTTAGGGCGATCTGGTGTAGCTACAGAATTGAGTTGTATATCAAATTAAAGTTCAAGCTCCAAAGGTTATTCAAAAATTGTCAAATTTCAAATCGGTGAAGCATGTGCTAAAATATGAGCGTTTAAACATTTTCTTGACTCACTCTCAACGTATCTATATATAATTGCTCAGTCATACGACTTATTTAGGACGATCTGGTGCAGCTACAGAATTGAGTTGTATATCAAATTAAAGTGCAAGCTCCGTAGGTTATCCAAAAATTGTCAGATTTCAAATCGGTGAAGTAGGTGACAAAATATAAGCATTTAAACATTT